GCCAACCCAAGAGGCTCGGGACAGAGGCGCCTTCGGAACCGTTCTATCGAGGGGGTTGCTATAGCAACTTACACTTACACTTGGCATCCTGCCACCGCCCGGAGCGCACCAAGGGAGAGGAGGGGGGAGAGAGGAGGAAAAGGAGGGGCGGAGCCCAGATGGGGGCAGAGAGGGAGAGAGAGGGTGCAAGAAAGAAAGAAAGAAAGAAAGAAAGAAAGAAAGAAAGAAAGAAAGAAAGAAAGAAAGAAAGAAAGAAAGAAAGAAAGAAAGAAAGAAAGAAAAAGGTCCGAGAAAGTGGCTCAGAGAAATCCTGGCAGCAGCGAGGGCCTGGGGGGCACAATACGGAGATGTGCGGGGGGAGCAGACTCCCGAGGTAAAAGTTGGTGCCCCCAGAGTAGGGAGCCAGGAGAAGGCATGGAGGGGGGCGGGCAGGCAGGCAGCTCCAGGAAAAGAGCGAGGGGCGTGGCCGAGGGGTGGGGCCCGGGAAAGGGGGGACCTTCCTGCTTCGCTCTTGGGGCCAGATCCTTTCTTCCTTCCTTTTCCCCTCCCCGCTGAGGGTCTGCGGGAGTTTGGAAGCCAAGGAGATGGGTGGGAGAAAGGGGCGCGAGGAGGAGGAGGCGGCGGCGGCCAGGAGCGGAGCTCCGACGGGGAGAGGCCTCTGGGGCGGCCCGAACCAGCACTGGGGTCTGCGCCAGACCGAACGCGAGAGGCTCCTCCCGGCCACTTCGGCTCCTCTCGGGGGCCTCCATCCACGTCGACTTGGGGCAAGAAAGCAGCAGCCGCAGCAGCAGCTGAGCCCGCGCCGCTTCCTCCCTCGTTCCCTCTCCCACACCTCTCTGCAACTCAGCTCAGCTGTGCCTCGCTTGGGGCTTGCTCCTTGCCCGGCCAACCGAGAGCGCGAAAAGTTGAGCCGTCTCGGGCCCTGGGCGACGGGGCAGGCGGAGCCCTTCACACGGCGCGGGGCTTCCCCGCGAGCAGCAGCACCACCACCAACACCACCACGGCGGCCCCCACTGCAGGCCAGGCAAGCTCAGCTAAGTCAAGAAAGCGCCTCTCCGACCGGAGGGGTCTGACCAGGCCTCCCGAGGGACATGTGGCCAGCCCAGTCCCGCTGTTAAATCAACACCTTGTCAAACACCAGCGCAGCGACAGGCGTGAAAACACACACGCAAATGTCATTTCCAGAGGTGGCTGCTGCTGCTGCTGCTGCAGAGACCCCCCGCGCCGCGCGCAGTTGCGCCTCATCTCTTTTAACTGCAGCTGGGCGGGGAAGATTGGAGAAGGGATCTCCAGGCAGATGCCTGCCCCAGAATCCCACCCGAGGCATGCGGCTCCCCTCCGTGCTCGACGAATAATTTACGGTGCAATCAGATCCGGGACGGAGGAAAAATGCGCCTGCCTCTCCTCCCTTCTCCGCCACTTCCAAGAATTCAGGTTCAGTTCCTTGATCCCTGATCTCGGCAGACGCCCTCATTTCCCTGAACCCACCACAGCTGAGGAAATACTTTGCTGATCCCCAAAGAGCCCTGAATAGCAGCAGCCCAACACGTCCCTATCGTCTCTACACCCCCCCCACACACACACACACTTAGAAACAGAGGAGAAAGGAGAAGAA